AAGTTTTTTTAACATAGGTGACAGTCTCCAGGGCGGAAAAGCTAATGGAGAATTAGTTGATTGGTCATGTTGTGACGTTGGCGCAGGATTGTTCATGATGAATTGGTTTATTTCATTACGATAAGTATAAGGCTGGAAGATAGTAATGTTACTTGTATTTGAGTTTTCTTCATTTAAGTTTAATGGAATATTGCTTTCGTATTCGTGAATAGAGAAGCGTTAGATAGAATAATTCAAGTTTTTACTCATATTTAGGATTATAGACTAAGTCAGGTAAATTCAAAATTTATATACGAAGATAGGTAATATATATATTTTTTTATTAATTTTATTTTTATTTTTTCGATTTACTTTACAAAGGAATTTTTAATGTCAACTCGATGGAATGACGGTCGAGCCATAGTTTTTATATGCGATTCACGGGCCAGGGTTGATATCTTATTTAATCATGTTTTTTTATTATTAATAACATAATGTAATTTTATAGTTAATTAATACATTTTATTTTCATTGTTTAGGTAAAGAAGATAAAACAAAGAGGAAGTATTTAATTGGAGTTGTATTTTGAATATACAAAAATAGATAATCGGGTGTATTAAAATTATTAGCGATTATTCTATTATTCTTAAGGCGTGTCTTTATCATCGAGATTATTTGGTTGTTCTTCATCTGAATATAGTCCGTCAGTATTGGTTTCAACTGTAGTATGTAGGTATTCAGCGGAATTTTTATCTGATTGAGTTAAATCTACTGCATTATGTTGAACTTCTGCATTATGTTGAACTTCCGCACTCTCATTTTCTAGTTTTTTGAGTTATTAATAGAATTTATTAATCATAAAATTAGTATAATCATTATTATTTTTTTTTATTAGTATTACGGTCGTTCTCTCACACGATTATATAATCGAAAACACGGTAAATTGATTTTAGAACATGTCTTTAGAATGTGTCTATAAAGGAGTTATGCTGATACAGAGTTTTCTTTTTATAAACTAAAAGATAGTTTGGTTCAAACGCTATTATTTGGAGAGACGATTATATTTTTATTTTTTATCTATTTATTTTTTTATTTTGTTTTTCATTTTTTTATTTATTTTTTATTTATTTATTTATTTTTTATTTATTTATTTATTTTTTATTTATTTATTTACTTATTTATTTTTATTTAATTTATTTATTTATTTATTTATTTTTTTCTATTGTTAACTTTTTATTACCATCTTACCTTTAATTTCGTTGACTTGGTTTATAGCAAATTTCAATCTTTTTGCCCTCGAGAAGCTTTCTTCTTGCGGGTCTTCGTTTATATCCTTTGTTACATTGCGAGGTTGTTTTTTATTAGGGGGTGGACTAAATTTATCCACTAATTTTTCTAACTCTTCATTTCTTGATTTTCTATCTTTTACTGATTTATCATCACCGGTTTTAGAGTTTCCTTGGTTTTAATAAGTCCATTCTATTACTTCACTTAGCACACACACTGATCTTTTCAACGTTACTAATTCACCAGCGACTAAGATTATAGGTTGACGTTTCGTTGCATCGGCTACATTAGCATGATGACCTTTGGGATCATACTTACACAAAACGGACATTGTAACCTGGAAAGCAGTTACGCCATTATAAGATTCTCTCTTTAGACAAAAAGCAGCATTATCACCTTCTGGAGTGCTAGGGTCCTAAACTGGAGCCGTAAAAACACCAAAGGGCAGAGATATGGGGAGATCATATATTGATAGGTAATCTTCTAAAGTTTGAATTTTAAGGAGGGTATTCTGTTCGATTGTAACTTTAGAAAAAAAAAAAAAAAAAGATAAATGAACGCGTAGCAATAAACGTAAATAAAAGGTAATTTGATTTTTAGTAACAGTTATTTTAATTATTCAGTAATGATTTATTATTTTAATTTTTTTTTATATTTAGTTCTCTTGTAACAAAAGTAAATCAGCCGATTATTAATGATATGCTGCCTTTTGTGACTTTCTCTACCAACGTCGTTTCGCTGAACTTAAAAACTTTAAATACGTATTTGACGAAATCATTCAATCCAGTCCTATACACAGCACTTCTGCTACAGATTTTACTCGAGCCTGAAACATTTTTGATATAAGATATAGCACAGAAAATAGATGTCATAGTTATTATTATTATTTTTTTCTTATTTTGTTATTTATTAAATCAATCGATACTGAAAAATCTGTATCTTTATATAGGTTTTCCGAATGAAAAAAAAAGATAGAGATAATTCGAATTGAACAAAAAAGCCTAACAACGAATTTTGAATCTTTTGTTTATGATAATAATTGTTTAATAATAATATTTTTATTTTTCTGTATAAGATACACGCAGGTAAGGATAACACGTAATAAGATAATTTTAGATTTTTAAGAAACGAGATTTATTTAAATTATCAAGGGATTCTTCAGGAGTTTATACAAAGTGCAGTCAAAAGGGTTTTTGAAATATTTTTTCAACAAATCAACAAAGAATATACTGTTGATTATATTTGTTAAAATTATTTTCCCGACATATGCATTAATTAGCGATTGTTAAACCTAATAAGAATAGAAGGATTTTTTGTTTGTTAGATGGTCGCCTTTTTTTTTAGGAATTACATAGCATAGAGAAATAAATATTCTTAAGTGTTATCTGTCGACTGAGTTGTTGAGACTATATCAAATATGTTTTAAAAAAAAATAAAAAATGCATTTATACAAATTCGATATATATAACAACGCAATTATAGGCAGGGTTTAGCATTTATTAAAGAAGTTTACATATGATTATTTTTAGTAAAATGCGCAATATGTAAATTTCAACAAAATAAAATGCAACACGATAATAGATAATTAATTATGCCATGAAGTTTTTTTTCGTAACATTCGTTTTGTCAGACGGGGTCAGGTTTTCTATTATAGTCAAACCTCAAAATGCTACGTGACTGGACCATATGGCAACCATGCATTGTTTAAGAGGAAACTGGCAAAAAATCATAAGGTTTATTATTTGTTTTTAAAGTAAAACTACATTTAGAACTTATATGCATTCAGGAGATCTAATCATATCCACTATTTTAGTAATTACGCTATATATTTTTTTGCTATGCAGTCAGAGAATTTATATATATTTTTTTTTTGGTAAAAAAATTTTATTAAAATTTTCCTATATATACAACATCTGCCCGACAAGCGAAATTTTTTTTTGAGCGCTATGAGCGCAATAATCTAGCTCGCGCAGCTATTTGGAAAGAGCAAAATACTAGCGCAAAAAAAAGAGTACCTTCATACAATCGGTTGATTTTTGTAATACCTATAAATACCAAAAATGGTGAATCAAATGATTATCAATTTCCTTAAATAGTCAACAGACCAACCAAATCTTATTATAGTGTAACACGAATGAAAGACGATTACTTGTAAGCGCTAAAATCATTGTATGAGTAACGTCTTGAATCAAATATTTGTATTTACTGTAAATAATTAAAAATCACTCCATATCAGATATCTGATATATGATAACACAGCTTTATGATAAATACGTACGTACGTACGCATGCACATATCAGATATAGTTGATTGTTTTTGTCACTTGACAACGATGACAACAAGTTACATTGGTCGTAATGATAGGATAATGCCTTTGATTAGGAAAGCAAACCATTTTAAACAGTAATAATGATATTGGTGTCGAAATGTTTAAAATGGAACAGATTTTCCAAGTCCAATAAGATTAGAAATAACATACATAGAATAAACCATTATTCTACTTTATGAAAGAGCAATTTCGAACAAATAAATTTTGGAATTAGAAATACTAGTCTATTTTATGCTACTTAATTGGCTGAATGTTACCTATTTATTGCCGTGCAATCTTTTCTGACAAAAGCTAGGTTTTAAATTTGGAGCGAGTTTAAATATTAATAACATTATATTGCATTTGTCAATTATTTGATTGTGTATATGCACCAATTCCTTGGTCATGTTTTCAGTTTGAATCACAATACCGGAAATTTTATGGACAATTAAAAAATGGAAAAATAAAAATACTATGCCTTAAATCTTACTATATTATGATATTAGTGCTATATCGATATCGATATATAATACATGTGAGAATGGACGGAGTCATGTAATAATAATTTTGACTTTGATATAGTGATCAGGTATTAAAATAAAAATCTAGATAATATACGGCGATAAGTTTTAGAAACATTGTTTTTACGTTAAAGAAAATCAATTGTTGGGCATCTAGTAACTATATACAATTAAGTGACGTGAAAAGGTCATTATGTACATTATTTTCACACAATACATTGCAAAAAATACCAAAAATACGTCAAACTATAAAATGTATAGACTTGACCAATTAAGTCACGTTCGATTGTTTTGTTTTTTTGAAACAAATTTTTTATTCTTTAATACAATGCCTAAAAAGAAAGACTGTGTGGCGAAAATAAGACCTTTTTTTAAGGAACAATTGATTTTTGATGTGTCGATAATATCTTACCGATAATATATTACAATGATATAATACAATGATACAATCTAATTTGTTCGAATTGCTGATAAATTTAAGTGCGGTAATTTTTTGTTGCTTATTATTGTAACAAATATAATCATTTTTTTTAAACAATTAATTAGCTTCGAAAGAATAACTTATCTGCAAGTAATTAAATAAGGCACACGATATCAAGATTTATCCTCGTTTTTTATTATATAATCCACTCATAATTTATAACCTATACAATACAGAGTTTACATGCTTGACTACCTTAGAACCTCCAATGATACCAAGTAACCCTTTTTTTTTATATGATGAGTTAAGAATTTCTTGACTGACGAGCTCAAATATAGTCATTGTCGAAAATGATATAATATGACCAAAATGCCGTGTTTTTTTTTTCAAAAGAAAAAAAAAAACGGAAACGAAAATATCTTTTGAAAAAAAAAACACATCACACTCAAAAATCATCTTTATACTAAAATCATTATTAAAAGAATGTCGTTTTCAAATTATCTTGGATTATCCATAAATCCCACATCGAGATCATCGAGATCATCGAGATCTCGTAAACTTATAATTGATACCAATAAAAATGAAATAGATTATTTCTTCGATTATCCACTTGAGGTGGCACTTCCTCCAATATGTAATACGACAGAAGTCAAATTTTCATCTTACTTGGGTTTTCCGTCGCAAGCAAAGAAAGAAGATCGACCAGTAATACCACAAAAGAATAAAGACGAAATGAATAAATACGAAATGAATAAAGACGAAAAGAATAAAGACGATAAAGATCAAATAGAATCTAGTAATGATGCAACAGAAACTTTGAATAATATATTAATAATTCAAGAGGTTTGTTTTTTTTTTCCATAGTCTCGTTGAAAATTGTTCAAATAAAATGAATTATTTATTAATTTTCAACAAATTTTCTAGGCTCTAAATAAATTGGTCGTTATAAATTTATTCTATATATCGAAAAAAAGAATACTTTCTCAAAAAGTTAAAGAAAAATTTGCATCAATTTCTGAATTACGAAAGAACATTGCCATTAATAATTTGAAAACAGAATCAATTAGGACTACTTTACATACTTCATATGACTCTCAACTATGTAATTCCTAAGATTCATTTATTATTGTATTGGTTTTAAAATTTCACTTTTCATTCTCTGTAAATAAAATTCGAGTTCGTGTACAAATATATATAATCTTTACAAACTGTTTTCTTCGGTGTTTAACTCGTGTAACCATGACATATCGATATTGCTGTTGTCTGTTGCAGCAGTAGTACCACCTCGTAATTTAAACATTTGAGCGATAATATCTCGGCGAATAAAACGATAAAAAAGATTTCAGTAAATTTAATTATATGGTCGTTGAGGTATCACTGCTTAAAGTTTTTTTTTTAAAAAAAAACCTAAAAGCTACGTTATCGCGGTTTTCGAAATGGTTGAAAATGGCAAATAAAAATTTTTTTGTTAAATACTGTGAATACTGCGAATAATGCGAATACTTGTATACTCGATTACCTTGGCACATTGATTAAAGATCGATGCCCGATTTCACGTACATACGATGAATTGTTGACTAAACAATTACATGTATGTACGTATCGATCTTTAATCAATGTGCCAAGGTAATCGAGTATTCAAGTATTCACATTATTCGTAGTATTCACAGTATTTACCAAAAAAATTTTTATCTGCCATTTTCAACCATTTCGAAAACCGCGATAAATTTTTCAAGACTTTAAGGGATGTATTTTATCGAATTTAGGATTGAATTTTTTATCAAATTCAGCCGTAATGTCATACTTCAATTGACGTTAGAAGATTCGTTCAGTCTATAACTATAAACTTTCCTCCTAAATTTAACACTTGTGTCTTACAACTTAACCAGTCTTCGTTACTTAAAAACTTGACATTTTATACCGAAATTATCAATGGATTTTATTGTTATAATCTTTCAATTGCTTTGATGTGAGCTGCTTGTTCGCGTTATATAGCAGAAGCGCCGAATCTACGGAACTATCCAGAATCGCAAATATTATTTTGCCGTTGCGTGACGATTAATAGCAAAGTGAATCATGATTTAATAAGATGGTTAGAAAAATTCCAAACAAGCGTTCGACCCCTTTTTTGCACGTAATTCTGGCTGCGATTATTGTAAAGCAGGCCAAAGTTGGCATAGTGTGGGTCTGCGTGCTTATTTTTCAGGAGTTCGTATAAGAAACCACGCTTCACTCATTGATCAAATGATTTAAATATAGGTTACCAATTTCTAACTATAACGATAAATGCCAACTCTATAATAACCATATAAACATAAAATTTTGTTGGCATATCTCCCGGGGCATGCTGTAAAAACATTAGATATTTCAGTAAGATCATGGAATCAACGTAAAGATCACGATCGTACAAACGACAATATACAATATATAAAATCACCTTTTTTGCTACCTTTTCTTTTTACTCACGTTTTTTGCGTTAAGCAATTAATATATCTTTTGTAGATAGATTTATGTTACCCGAATAAACGCTATGTAAGGTTGACAAAAATAAACTAGATAACATACACTACAGTATATATGCTTTAATTTATTATACTTTACAGAAATCTGTTTTTTTGCTAAATATGTTTTTAATATAATTAAAATATTTTTATTATATTTTTAAAATATTTTAAAATTAAAAT